GTCCCTTTAGTTTTGTGTATTTCACTGTACATAAATTATATTTCAATAAAATATATTGGAGAAAAAAAAGACCAGGCTTACTAGTCTGATAGAGACTGGTGGAAACCCCTAAGTATACTCTTTATACACCTTTCAAGCCTGGAACTGAACTCATCCCTGTGGTTCAACTTACAGCCAAACAATAGGCCTATAAGATGAACAATTAACACCAAGGAGGTACACACTCTTTAAAACAATAAACCACATAAGATCAAAAGGGCAGCATTCACCCAGGGAGAAAGCTCAGAAGGCAGGAAGGTATAGCAATGAAGGATGAATGGAAACTGTAAACACAAGGAGTGGGAAGAGTCCTGCTACATTGTGGGGATTGCAATCAACATTACAAAACAAAATATATATGAATTGCTGAATAGAAAACTTATTTGGTTTGTAAACTTCCACAAACAAATCCCAATAAAAAGTTTTTTAAAAATTAAAAACAAAAACAAAAAAACATCCTACAATGTAAACGGCCAAGTATTATCCAGTCTAGAAGAACCAAGGTCTCCTGACGCCCAGTCAATTATTTCTTCTATATCACTCTGCCAGTTAAGATTTACAATTAATCAAAGACTAAAGATATGGCATATTTTCCAAGCAGCAACTGTAAATTTATAATACAACACTAAATTTCTAATTTACCCTGGAGATGTGAGTTTTGTGACTCTGGGTAAGCTACAACATAATTTGGCATTACAAATTAGCCTAAAACCAAAAGAAAGTATAGAATAATAATAGGATTGTGTGCTTCAGAGACAAAAGAGATTTTGTATGTCAAAGAGGAGAAAACAGACTTAAAACACTCAGACTTTCCTCTGCTAAACTATTAACAGAAACAGCACTCTACTGGCAGAGATCCTGCTTTTTTATTCAGAGTTCAAACAAGTTCTGCCCCACAGAATCAAGCCTTATTAAACCAGAACAAACCAGAAAGAAAAATGCCACAAACAGAAGGCAATTTAAAAGTCCATGAATGTATTTCAAAACACGACTTTGTTTAGGAAACCCAAAGTCTCTTTGGGTATGCCTTATTTAAAAAGAGGTATTTTTAAGAAAGCATACTTCCTGGTGCCAAACAGTGAAGTTTTCTTTGAATTTCAAATTTAGTATAGCATCCCATCCCTTTGTGCAATAAGGTATGTAAAATATCTGGAATCTGAAGTCTACCCATACTTTTCAAGTAGATGTCTTGCTAAATAGGATATATAATCAGGTTTCAAAGAAACAAAAGAAAATAATAATTTCATAAAGTTAATACAGCCAGCTCATTTCCCCATAAAATGGCCTCCAGAAGCACTTAATGCTGGAACACTATGTACTACCTTTATTAAAATAACAATGATGGTACAGAGGCACTGTCAACAGAGCATTCAGAGGCCCTTTCCAAACCAAACTCAGATCCGACTCATAGCAACCCCTCCTTGGGTTTCTGAGGCAGTATCACTACAGAAGTAGATTGCCCAACCTTCCTTCTGAGAAGTGGCTGGTGGGTTTGAACCACCAGCCTTCTGGTTAGCTCCCAGAGGCCCTTTAGGAAAGGGAAAAACTGTCTCAAGTCTACATATGTAACAGGAGAATAAGGGCTCATGGATAGTTCTCAATTTAGTTGGTAAGACTCAAAGTGAAATAATTTCCAACTAAGTCCAATCATTCTCCATTCATTTCAAAATGAAAACAACAGGCAAATAGACTGACCAGAAGTATCATGAAAACTAACCAACTTTCAATGAAAATCGAGAACCAGAAAGTCACAAAATATTTTTGCTGTATCTTGGTTTAATTTCAAGTCACTTTTAAGATACTACTACCAACCTTACTGTTAACACTGCAGAGATCTGCAAAGCAATAAAAACAAGTCTTTAAAATCACAGGACTTCTTGGCAACCAGACTGATAAAGAGCTCCCTTGTCTGGGTCCCTGGTTGACAATTCAAATGCATCCAGGGGCGCTACAGATAAAAAGCCTGGCAATCTACTTCCGTAAAGAACACAGGCAAGAAAACCCTGCAGAGTATATACTTCTACTCAGTAACACATGAGTGGCCATGAGTCTGAAACGACTTGATGGCAACACATTTCATTTGGGTTTTGGTTTGGATTTCTATAAGATTCAATAGGATAGATCAATGCTCTATCACCTTAACTAAAATTATTAATTCTTGATGATCCATGTATCCCCTCGCATTTAGTCTTCAGGGCTGAAGGCAGCTAGTATAAGAATTCCCTCCATACACTACTTGCCAGGCTCTCCTCCGGAAGGCTGAACTATCACCTGAAAAACATCTCTATCCAAACATTTTTAACATCTCTATCCAAAATAAATAAATAAATAACAAAATTTGAAAAATCATAACATCTGAGCCTTTTTAGCAGCCAGACAACAGCATCATCATTTAGCAAAACTTTTATACCGTATTATAATTCAGCTTTAAACACCTAAAGTCACCTTAAAAAGTGACTGGATAACTGGCTAGGCAGCCAAAATTCATGGAAATAACTCTGTCAGGAGCAGATACTGATCTATACTAAGTACCAGAGTTTGGTTCATTTCCACAGACTTCTTTAAAAAAACCTTGGTGCAGACATCCCCAGACATAGGACATTTATAGATTCTGGGTTACAGAGAACTACGCATGGCCTTTCATCACAGGATTAGAACTGCTGCTTCCTACTGCATATGGGTGCTAACCAATGGTTTCACCAACACCCACGCTTTCCCTATCATTGAAGTCTCAGTAGAAAGTTCTCTTTAAGAAGTAATAATCACTGGTTCTAAACTCTAAAAAACATAAAAAAAAATCCCAAGGTTCTTTGAATACTTTGAAGTAGTTATTTTCTCCATGGATTGATTAATATTCATTTTTCTCCTCTGGGGCTAGACTTCTTTCATATTCTTTAGGGAAAGGGAGAATGTAGATAAGAATTTGAAAAGCCTTTAAATGAGTTCAACTGCAGTTCTGCCATTTTTGGTACTCATGAGAATAAAGAATAGGATTTTGAAACTTTATGATGATGAAAGGAATCATCTTACATATTCTAAAATGGTTTTCATTAAATAATTTATATAAACTATATAATCTATTCAAATAGTTGCTAATTATTGTCATACTTTGCTACAGCTAGTAACAAAATGTTAAAAAAAAATTTGTCCTTCATCTACTTGATGATGATCATTCTAGCTCAATTTGTTCACCAGATAAACAAAAGTCATAATAAAGAATGGGTTCATTGGCTTTATAATATGATATGAAAGGGAATGAGCAGGCCTAAATACTCAAAAGTAGTACAATATAAAGCAGTATAATTACAAATTCTGACTAATTATAAACTTTAAATTTGTACAAAATAAATAACATTTGTATTCTCAGCAGGACAGAGCATCTTCAGTAAATAGACTGAACATAGGAAAAGGATGCTATTTTCAATTTAGGACATTCTTTCTAGATGTTATATGGAAGGGATGGTCCAAGGAAACACAAGCATCAAGCTTCACAACAGCTCATGCTCTGCTGATTTGATTTTCAACTGTGCACAATATAAATACTAAGTTGTTGTTGTTATTAAGTGCTGTCGAGTTGGACCCGACTCATAGCAACCTCTCCTTGGGTTTCCAAGGCAGTATTACTACGGAAGTAGATTGCCCAACCTTCCTTCCGAGGAGTGGCTGGTGGGTTTGAACTGCCAACCTTCCGGTTAGCAGTCAAGTGTTTAGGCACTATGCTACCAGAGCTCCCTATAAATATTAAGAGTAACCTCTTATCAGTTTAGGAGAAAAAACAACTTGCAAGAGACATCTTACTTACAAGAGGTAGCAGCAAACTGAACAAGTCACCAACATTGTGATGATAACTCTAAAAGAAAAAAAAAAAAAGCAAAATGTTATAAGATAAACTACGCAGACAGTACAGAATGGTTTAAGTTCCCTTCCCAAGCTATCAAACTAAATGGACTGCACACCAAGAAAATGGGATCTGAATCTGTTCCAACACCTACTAGAGTACAGTACAGCCTGGGGTGCCCTTGGTAGATATTTAAGTAATAATTGAACATTTGTATTTAAAGGGATTATGTAGTGACGCCACAGCTGAGATGTCAAATCCAAACCCATCTGAAACCAAATAGAAAAGGCCACAGTAATAATTAGCTTTGCATTCAAATCTTCATTTGGTCGTATTCCCTGCAATAGAGAAACACTATATTTCTAAAAATATTACTATGTAGCCTTGACCTCTTCCAGTCTCCAGTCCTGTCTTAAAAAACAGTTAAAGTTGCATGTCTGATCAGATGAATTACAGTATTTCTAAAATTGAATTCATGATACTCTCTTCCCATGTCTCTTCCCTAAGCTCCCCTTCTACATCTCCTAATCCCCAGAAGCAGCTCTGCCACTTCCACCCATCCAACCCAAAATCAAATCTGTCATCTTTTTGTCATGCCTCCTCTGCATCCTCAAATTCAGTCACTAAATGCTGTAGATTCATCCTTTGAAGCATCTCTCCCCATTATGGAGTGAACTGTAACCACCCAAAAGTTATGCTGAAGTCATAGGCTGAAGAATCAGGTATGTCTAGGCAAGGGGGACTGTGCCCATGACCATGTACAGGGTTGGCAGACAATGTTTCTTCATGCATACTTGTATGTGCTATATGAATGTCCAGGTGTATAGTAGAGCTGACAAGGGGCAAATGTGTGATGGCTTCCTGGCCACAGCCAGCTACCCTGAGGGAGCAAGTAGCTGGAACTGTGGGCTTGTGACCATGGTTGCAGGGGGCATCAAGTTCAACTGGCATAACATACTACACAAAAACATTGTTCTACATCCTACCCTGGTGAGTAGCCACTGGGGTCTTAAAAGCTTGCAAATAAGCCATCTAGATGTAACAATGGGTCTGTCCTTGTCCAGAGCAAAGAAGAGGGAAGTAAACCAAAGACGCATGGAAACAATTAGTCCAAGGGACTAGCAGACCATGGATCCTCCGCCCATATGACCATGAGACCAGAAGAACTAGATGGTACCTGGCTACCATTGTCAACCACTCAGAGGGGGATCAGTGCAAGAGATTCTGGATAGAGTAGGAAAATGATGTGGAACAAAACTTATAATCATAAAAAAAGACCAGGTTTACTGGTCTGATGGAGCTGGTGAGACCCAAGACCCCTGAGACTATGGCTCCTAGTTACCCTTAAGGTCTGGAACTGAACTCACTCCTGTGTCTTTCAGCCAAACAACAGACAGCACATAGGGTGACCAGGTAGACATACTCCTTGGAGCATCAAATCAATGGATCAATCATGGGAGAACAGAAGGGCAGTGTTTACACAGGTAGATAGCTGGGCGGGGAGGAGGGGGAAGCATGGGAGGGAAGGACACAGGGAAGAGGTAATTATGGGGAAGAAGTTGGAAGAAAGCTGTTACATTGTGGGGAATTGCAGTCAATGTCATGAAACAAACTGTGTATGAACTGCTGTATGGAAAATTAATTTGCTTTGTAAATTTTCACTCAAACTGCAATAAAAAAATTTTTTAAAAGATATGTTGAAGTCTTAATCCTGTGAATGTGACCTTGTCAGGCAACAGGGTCTTTGAAGGTATTATCAATTAAGTTAATATAAAGTCATACTGGAGTAGGGTGGATCCAAATCCAATCAGAGTGGTGTCTTCATAAAAAAAGGAGAAGAGGCAGGCACAGAGGGAACCATGTAATCATGGATGCAGAGATGGAGTTATAAGGCAGGTATAAAGCAAAGAAGTCTGGGACTACCAAAAGCAAAGAGAGACTAGAACAGATCTTTCCCTAGAGCCTTTGCAAAGAACATGGCCCTGCCAACACGCTGAATTCAGACTTCTGGACTTCTAGCTTTCAGAACTGTGAGAATAAATTTCTGTCATTTTAAGCCACCCACTTTGTGGTACTTTGTTACAGCACCCCTAGGAATCTAAAATACTCCCCTCTGTGGGGTTTTCTCTTTTCTAATCCCACTGTTAGCACCAAAATTCATCAAGTTCACTTGACTAGCTAACTGCTAACAGATCACGAATTTCTTCCTTCCCTTTCATTCTTTCTAAAACATTCACCATAGCCTTCTAATTGCTCCCCGTCCATCCTCCATAAAAAAGCCTTCCATAGAGGGGTCTCTATACCCCAAGGACTGAGCAAGACTATCTACTAGATGTGAGAAGCAAATATCAAATCTATTTATATTCATTTTTAACTCATCCTTTAGAAGTTCTGTGTATGTGTATTATTGGCATACGCATTTACTCAACGGATTTTCAATGAGTTTCTAAGCTGTGCCAGGTTCTGGAGTTACAGCAGTGAACAAAACTAATGAAAATCCTTGCCCTGATGAAGTTCACGTAATAGTGAGGGCCACAGACAATACACAGGGTGAACAACTATATGTGTGTGTATGTGTATTTGTTGGGAGCTCTGGTAGTGTAATGCCTAAGGCTAACCCTCCTCGGAAGGAAGATGGGGCAATCTACTTCTGTAGTGATACTGCCTCAGAAACCCAAGGAGGGGTCGCTATGAGTTGAGTCCGACTCGATGGCACATAACAACAACAACAACAACATATATTTGTTATTAAAAAAAAAAAAAAAAAAAAACCCTCACTGCCTTTGAGTCGATTCCATCTCACAGCAACCCTCCCTTGGGTTTCCAAGACAGAATCACTACAGAAGTAGATTGCCCAATCTTCCTTCTGAGGAATGGCTGGTGGATTTGAACCACCAGCCTTCTGGTTAGCAGTCAAACCCCTTAGGCGCTATGCCACCAGAGCTCCTATACGTATTTGTTTAGGGGGATAAAAACATTTGAAAGTGGACAGTGATAATAGTTGTAAAACAAGGTAATTAATGTCACTGACCTGTACACTTAAAAATGGTTTAAGTGGCAAATGCTTTGTTATGTATATTTTACCACAATTATATTTTTAAAAAGGAATCCAAAAAAATATTCTAATAGCATCACTCTACTGGGCTGTAACAGACTGGAGTAAGAGGGGTAAAGGGAAAAGCAGGGAAACCAGTTAAGGTAGAACTGCAGTAATCTAAATGGATTAGGCTGTTAGCAGTGAAGGTAGTAAGAAATGGTCAGATTATGGATACATTCTGAAGGCAGACCATCAAAATACATAATTTATAGATGACATTCATAATACGCACTATATTTTTTCACATATAACACACCCACATAAATAACAAGACCATGGCATTTAAGGTGCATAGCATGCATGAGAAATTAACAAGTGAGGGAACAAAGTTTATAAAAACCATATAACCCACACATTATTTGCATAAAAATATGGTAACATGTATGGTGGCTTGTGCTAAAAATTTTTTGACAGTTGCACAATTACAGTTTGATGACCTATTTGATGACCAAGCAGCACATCTAGCTCCTCACTCTTGTAATCAATTCCCTCTACCCATCCTCCTCACTCTCCTCTACTTTTTTAAACATCAACCATTTGTTCCTGAAGGTAGGTCCTCTCACTACTTCCCAAACACATCACACGTATTATTTTCATCCAAACTTTTGCTCATCTTCCCCTACTCTCCAATCACTCCCCTTCCCTTTCTCTCCTGTCTTCTCCAAGACCAGCTAGGAACTCAAACAGCTGAGGCTCCTTTGTGTTATCTGCTTCATAGTATGATACCAAAAGCTCCTTCATTAAAATATCACTTCCTAATGTTCTTGTTCTTAGGAGTTACATACTGAAGTATATAGGGGTGATGGCTGCAACTTGCTTCCAAATGGTTCAGCAAGGAAAAAAAAAAAAGTTGTAAATGTACTATATAGAAAGAGGATGAAGGCAGAGGGAGAGACAGACACACAAACATACACCCTGGATGGCACAAACAGTTAATGTGTTTGCTGTGTCCATCCACAGGCATCTTGGAAGAAAAGTATTAACAATGTACTTCCCAAAAATCAAACAAGGAAAACTCCATGGAGCACAGTTCTACTCTCACACACAGACGGTAACCATGAACTGCAAATGACTCCACAGTAACTGTTTTTGATTTACATAGATATAAATCTATATATGTATATAGACATAGATGTATCTACCTATCAATCTAAATAAATATAGATATACATGAGAAGCCCTGGAGGCATACTGGTTACGTGCTCAGCTACGGGGCGGATTACCCAATAAGCACAGGCTTACTTGTGCTTATTTATTAATCTGGAGTAAATAATTTCACATGGGCAATACTGAAAATGCCACAGATTGCTGAAAGAACAAATCTGTTCTGAAGAAGTGCAGCCAGAATGCTCCTTGGAAGCAATGGCCAGACTTCATCTCACCTACTTTGGTCATGTTGTCAGAAGGGACCATTCCCTGAAGAAGGCTATCATGCTTGATAAAGTGGAGGCTCAGCAAAAAAGGGGAAGACCGTCAACAAGACGGGCTGACACGGTGGCAGCAACAATGAGCTCAGGTATAGTAAGGATTGTGAGTCTGGTGTAGGACCAGGTAGTGTTTTGTTCTGTTGTACATGGGGTCACTATGAGTCAGAGCTGACTCGACGGTACCTAACAACAATCCTGGTGAGAAAAACTTGGAGCTTTAGAGATTCCTGAAGAGAAAAGGGGGAAAATATGAACAGGAATGGTCAGTAAAGCTGACTCCAGGCACAGATTTGACTTTACCCCATTCTTTCACAGTTGCAGAAAAGAGTGTAAAAGACTCATTTTAGTTTATGCATAGATTCCCAAGAGTTTTTCCTTCTCTCCTTTCCTCTCCTTGCCTCAACAGGTCCTGATAACCTCCTAAGCACCTAATCTCCCGCTCTCTGTTGTGCAGAGGTCTGTAAGGGAAGAGCATGTAACAACAAAGTTCTCTTTTGCCTCCCTCTCTTCCCTTTACTTAACTCCTCAATGAAGATGTTTTGAATCCCTCAAATCAGAAGTAACCCTCTTATTAAAAATTACTTATCATTCTCTTTAAAGCAGTTAAATTCCTTCATGCACTTAAAAATTTCTGATTTGCAGTCTTTTCCGGAGGTAAAGGGGAACTAACACAATTCAGTAGTAATTATTTCATTTTACAATGAGAAAATGGGAAGATGGAAAAGCTACTCAATTGCCCAAGGTCACAGGGATCATCCACTTAGGAGCAGTGTTTCTCAAAGTGTAACACAGTAATTCCTAGCAGACACTGGGTTTCAAGACCTGTTCTATCCTGCCAAGAGCTGGAAATACAAGGATTGGGGTGGAGACTGTGAATTAGGTCTGAATAATATGACACTCTGCTAGAAACTGAGCAGGCAGGTACTAAAATGAAACAGGTGGGGTTTCATTACCCTGGATAGGCATCAGGTCCCAAGACTGGGCATGGTGAGCCCCAACGGGGGGTGAGGAGGGATTAGTCTTTAAGAAAAGAGTGATCAGTGCTACCAGCATGTAAATAAAGGCTTTCCTGTGTAGGAGTCTGAAAGGGCAGACAGTATGGTAATGAGAGAGATGAAGGTAAAGACAATAAAGCAGCACTTTGCTGCTGTCCTACTCCAGTAAGAGAAACAAATCTTGGAAATTAAATTTGGTTACACAAATTGTTTTAATAATACCAAAATCCTGGCACTCCACATCAGCTATGATCAGCAGGAGAGACAACATTATGTAATAAAATTAAAGATGGTGAAAAGGAGTGAGAAAGGGAGGACTTAATGCTTCCAAATCACAGAAATTCACCTACCATTTTTCCTTTTTTTAAAATTTATTATTTATTTTTAGGCTAGATAGAAGTTAAAGGCCTAAAGCAAGGTTATTCCAGAGAGCAAAAGGGGTCAGGTCACAAAATATTAAGGGAGTAGTAACATTTTCTTTTCTTTATTAAAGGTTAACAGAACTATCCATGCAACAGATTTTTATTGCTTGCCTTGAAACCACAAAATAACGTCAAAGAATAAAAGCAAGAGATGGTGTTTCTGACAAAACGTGACCAGTCTAAGTTTCACCCCACATGATCTTGAGCTGAGAAAAAAATGACTAAACAGCAAAAGAGGAACCAGAAAAAGGGTGTACCAAGGATCCTTTGAAAATTAGGCTCTATTTTGTTGTACAACAATAAAAAAATTTACTTGCCAAAAAAACAAAGCTCTATTTAACAAAGAAGTCTGGAAAAAAAAAAACACGTTTCTTTACCAATCATTCCAAGAACTTATTACCGTCATACAAGCCCACGGGCGCCCTTCAAAAGGTGTGACGCAGGGGTTTCTAAACAATACCTCTTGCTCTTTGGTAATTAATGTTGCTTTAGATCAGGCCCAGCTACCTCCGAGTGCCCACTAGACGCAAGGCCTGAGCTCAAGCCTTGTTGAACAAGCTTGTCCCGTAAGCAACTGCGACAGTAAGTGATGCAGAGAGGACGATTTTTATTTTCCCTATGTGATCCTTTTCTTCAAAGTTTAGGCAAACGAAGACACGTTTGGATGGAGAGCAGGGTCAAAGGGGCGAAAGTCGACTAGAGACGAACCTAAACTACTCTTTGAGTCAGTATAAACCCATTTCCGACTGCACACTTCTCACACTAGCTCGTGATGAGAAAAAAGCGGCCCTAAAACTAGCTTCCAAGAAGGGACCCTCGAGGTCACTCTCCTCATGCTAAGGTCTAAGAGACAAAGAAGTTGCTGCCACCGATAAGGAAGTCTGGTGGGCTCTGTGGGGGTCAGCCCTGACGCTAGAGAAGGGGGAACCTCTCGAAAGGTTCTCCAGCAGGTACTGTGCTCGTCCCCTCCCCCGCCCGGGCCGGATCCGTCCTCACCGCGCGTCCCTCCCAAGGCAGGCCTCGCGCACTTACCCTCGGTTAGGACCCTTAGGGATGAACCAGGGCACTAAGAAGCCCACAAAGCCCCAGAACACGCTCATCACGATGAGAGGCACCGTGAGGCCGTTGTACGCCATGATTATCACCGGAACTTCCAGCCCCTGCCCCACCGCCTCACTTTGGTCCCACCCGGAAGTGTCAACACCGAGCCGCGTGACCAGCGCACGCAAAGACCCGCCCCTACGCCTCACGTGACCGGGCGCCAGAATTTCGCCCCTCCCGGCTGTCCCAGCCTCGCTCTCAACTGATCCTATCTCAGTTTGGAGATCCTTTGAGAAACGTCACTCACAGTAGAGCAAATGGTCACATTACCAGGAGCGCAGCAAAATTTTGTAGTAAGAATCCACCCTTTAAGGAAAGGGCTGTAGTTATTTGTTATTGCTGTTGGGTCCTGTTGAATAGGACACGCAACTGAGTAAAGCTGTGATCTTTATGGGAGCAGAATGACAGGTCTTTCTCCTGTAGAGCCACTGGCTGGATTTGAACCACCAGCTTTTTGTTATGGCTAAGCTCTGGTAGCATAGTGGCTAAGGCACTTGACTGCTAACCAGAAGGCTGGCGGTTCAAACCCACCAGCCACTCCTCGGAAGGAAGGTTGGGCAATCCTACTTCCGTAGTGATACTGCCTCGGAAACCCAAGGAGGGGCCCCTATGAGTCAGGGCTGACTCGACGGCACATAACAACAACAACAACAAGCTCTTAACCAGTGTGCCTGAGGGTTCCTTTTTACACCTTTGTTGTTGTTACTAGGTTCCGTTGAGTCTGCTCCTACTCATAGCGACCTTATTTATGTACAACAGAAAGAAACACTGCCCAGTCCTGTGCCAGACTCACAATCCTTGCTATACCTGAGCCCATCATTGAAGCCAGTATCAGTCTATCTTGTTGACTGCTTTCCCCTTTAATGGTGACCCTTCACTTTACCAAGTATGACATCCTTCTCCAGGGAATGGTCCCTTCTGACAACGTGACCAAAGTAGGTGAGACCAAGTCTGGCCATTTTGGCTTCCAGCTGCACTTCTTCCAGGATAGATTTGTTCATTCTTCTGGCAGTCCATGGCACTTTCAGTATTCTTTGCCAACACCACAACTCAGAAGCATCAACTCTTCTTTGGTCTTCTTTATTCATTTTCCAGCTTTCACATGCATATGAGGCGATTGAGAACACCATGGCTTGGGTTGGGCGCACCTTAGTCTTCAAAGAGACATCTTGGCTCTTCAGCACTTTAAAGAGGTCTTTTGCAGTAGATTTGCCCAGTGCAATATGCCGTCTGATTTCTTGATTGCTACTTCCATTGGTATTGATTGTGGCACCAAGTAATATGAAATCTTTGACAACTTCAATTTTTTTCCATTTATCCTGATGCTGCTTATTGGTCCAGTTATGAGGATTTTCTTTTTCTTTATGTTGAGAGGTAATCCACACTGCAGACTGTAGTATTTAATCTTCATCAGTAAGTGCTTCAAGTCCTCATCACTTTCAGCAAGCAAGGTTGTGTCATCTGCAGAATGCAGGTTGTTAATGACTCATCCTCCAATCCTGATGTCATGCTCTTCGGATTATTTGCTCAGCGTACAGATTGAATAAGTATGGTGAAAAGATACAACCCTGATGCTCTCCCTTCCTGATTTTTAACCATGCAGTATCCCTTGTTATCTTTGAATGACACTCTCCTGGTCTATGTACAGGTTCCTTGTGAGCACAATTAAGTGTTCTGGAATTCCCATTCTTCTCAATGTTATCCTTAATTTGCTATGTCGAATGCCTTTGCACAGTCAATAAAACACAGGTAAACATCTTTCTGGTATTCTTTGCTTTCAGCCAAGATCCATCTGATGTCAACAATGATATCCCTCATTCTACATCCTCTTCTGAATCCGGCTTGCATTTCTGGAAGTTCCCTGTCAATACAGTGCTGCAACCATTTTTGAATTATCTTCAGCAAAATTTTACTTGCTTGTGATATTAATATGTTGTTTGATAATTTCCACATTCTGTGGGATCACCTTTCTTTGGAACGGGTACAAATGTGGACCTCTTCCAGTCAGTTGGCCAGGTAGCTGTCTTCCAAATTTTGGGATATAGACAAGTAAGTACCACCAGTGCAGCATCTGTTTGTTGAAACATCTCAGTGGGTATTCTGTCAACTCCTGGAACCTTGTTCTTTGCCAGCTCCTTCAGTGCAGCTTCAACTTCTTCCTTCAATACCATTGGTTCTTGATCATATACCACCTCCTGAAATGGATGAACATTGACCAATTCTTTTTGGTACAGTGACTCTGTGTAGTCCTTCCATCTTCTTTTGATGTTTACAACTTTAGCTACCCCTTTTATGCAGCAGAGATATACAGAGAACTTAACATAGTAAGTTACTACTCAGAATTTTCCTGTGTGCCAGGTACTGAGCTATGAGCTCTAAAAAGGCTAGGAGCTCTTTTGAACTCCTCACTACAGCCTAGAAGGTTTATTTCTACTTTGCAATTTTGAACAAATAGGCCTAGGGAGGAGTTAAGGATCTTACGCAAAGCCACATAGCTAGGGTTTAGAGTAAATTGTGTCCCCCTAAAATATATGTTGGGAGCTCTGGTAGCATAGTGGCTAAGACACTTGCCTGCTAACCAGACGGCTGGCGGTTCAAACCCACCAGCCACTCCTCGGAAGGAAGGTTGGGCAATCCTACTTCCGTAGTGATACTGCCTTGGAAACCCAAGGAGGGGTTGCTATGAGTCGGGTTTGACTCGACGGCACATAACAACAACAACAAAATATATGTTGAATTCCTGTGGATGAAATTCTCTTTGGTTTTTCTTTGGCTAGGTTAATGAAGTCATACCAGTGTAGGATGGATCCAAAACCTAATGACTTTTGAGTTATAAAAAGATCCGAATAGATACAGAGACACAGGGGAAGACAGATGCCATGTGAGGATTGTCAATAAGCCAAGGAACCAAAGAATGCCTGGAACTACCAACAAGGAAGGAATTGACATGGGCAAGATCCCAACTTGGACTTTCAGCCTCCAGAACTGTGAAAAAACAAGTGTCTGTTCTTTAAAGCCATCCAACATTGTCATGTTTGGTATTTGTCTTACAGCAACTAGGAAACTGAGATAGTTAGTATGAGGCAGAGCCAGGATTCATCCTTTGATGGTCTACTTTTCAAGGCCAGTGCCTATAATTACTGTACTACTGTCTGTCCTATGCACTGTGCTGGGTTCTAGGGTTACAGAGATCAAACAGACCCACTCATGGAGTGGTGGGGAGATAGACTTGCAAACAGGTCTCTCAGTGCAACATGAAGGTAGAGTGAGTGATAGTGCACAGCCTTTTATACCAGCCAGTCCTGAGCCAAGTCTTGAAAGAGGAGTAGGGATTAGAATAGTGAGGAGAAGGTAAGCATGAGCTTCTAATGTTTGCTAAGGATTTACACATCTGTTTATTACAATATGCAACAACCTTGGGGCAGAGGAGGAAACCAGTTCTCAGAGAGGCTAAAGAACTTGATAAAACTCACAGGAGTTAACAACAGAAGCAAGATGGGAAGCAGATCTATAAATTAAATCCAGTGTGCTTTACTGAAGGAGCTCTGGTGGGGTAGTGGATAAGGCATTTGGTTGCTAACCAGAAGGTCAGAGGTTCAAACCTACCAGGTGCTCTGTGGAAAGAATACGAGGCAATCTACTTCCATAAAGATTTACAGCCTCAAAAACCCACTGGAGGTTGCTATGAGTTAGAATTGACTTGATGGCAGTGAGCTTGATTTTGGTTTTGGTGCTTTACTGTGCATCACAGTGTCCCTGCAATAGCCACATTTCATTACCTCCTGAGTTCATTCTTCATCAGTTAGAGTGGATTCCTGGATTAAATGGGAAATTGAACTGATAATTTCTAACATCTGTGTCAACTCTTTAATCGCGATTCTAAGGAGCTCTGGTAGCATAGTGGCTAAGGCACTTGACTGCTAACCAGAAGGCTGGCGGTTCAAACCCACCAGCCACTCCTCGGAAGGAAG